ACCTCATGTGACCTGAGAGTGGATGGGTGGAGCAGTGTCTGTCCCCTCCTACCTCCCCCTGAGCCGCCATAGGAGCTAGCAGAGGTCATGTTTACCGTGTTACACATTTACCACCTGAACCCAAGACTCCATGACACAAAGCCTGTATCAAAACATTGGGTTTTTTTATTTGTTTTTTAAATCTATGAGTTGCATCCTGCATCAGAGGATAGCCCACAAATGGTGGGACCCAGGTTCTCCCCTCCCCGCCGTACGTCTGCTGACGGGTACATGGGGAGGGGCTCCTATTAGGCAAAAGAAACAGACCCCAACAAGACTGTGGCTTTGGTTGTGAATTAGACAAGTGGATTTGCATTGGAGTCTGTAAGCTGAAATGTAAATTTGTTACAAGAATTTAGATGATTAGGCAGTTCAAGTGTGAAGATATATCCCATTAGGGGTGTCATGCCAAATTAACACAACCAGACTTTTAACGACCCTCCATTTGTACAGCCCCTGTTTACTCCTGTACCTGCTGTCTGCGGGGCCTGGGGGCCACCCATCCAGTGCCACAGCAGCAGCGCACCCTGGGGCCCGGCTTGGGTTCTGCAGCCAGGGGCTGCTGGGTGGGGCCTCATTGGACGCCTATCTGCGTTTGGGCCCCTTTTCAGACAAGGGGTACCGTCAAGACTCAGACCTGTCCCTGTCCTTCAGGGGTTCCCAGGGAGGGTGGTGACAGGGCACACACACACCTACAGCCTTTGTGAGACTGTCCCCATCAGACACACTAGACCCGATCCACCCAGAGCCGCCTCAGCCCAGCTGTTCCCTTACCTGGTCCCCTGCTCTTGTTCCAGTACCTTCTCCTCCTATATGTTTCCTTCTGACTACCTGTCTTCCCCCAAGCCCTCTGATTTACCATCTTTCTAACTCCCACCGGAAATTGCCTTGTGCCTGTCTCCTGGTTTAGCTCTGCCTCTTGCCTAGAATGAACGTGCTGTGAACAACAGCTTTCCCAGGCTGGTGCTGTCTCCCCACACCCACACAAGTTAGTTGCCATGACACTGTCCTATGCCCAGGGTCTTTGCCCTCCTCTCCACCAGGCTCCCTGGTGCCCCTCGATGGATGAGGCCTCATTCTAGCCCCTGGGGTGGTCCATGAGACCACCATGCCCAGGTGACAGACAGACTGCTAGGACAGGACAGGCGGGAACAGCTGCCTCTAAGTCCCTGCGTTCATGCAGCCTGCCTCTCTCTCCCAAGGCTGAGGGGCTCAGCTCCTGGGCAGCTCTGTCCAGACCTTCTCCAGCCCAGAGTCTTGCTACCTCTTCCTCCCTTGTCCATCTGGAGCTGCATACTCAGCAGAGGGCAGAAGGTGTGTCCTCGAGGCCCAGAACATACCCTGTTTTGGGGTGTCTTCAGGGGCCCCTGGGAGTCACCACTGATTACAGTTTTGCTGAGATGTCCTGCCTTGGGTGAGGACTCCTGAGTACGTCCCTGCTCTGACCTGTCCAAGCTCTTGTAACTGAAGATGCAGATTGCATTTAGGATGTCTCAATCGCAGAAATAGCATCTGCTCCTTCCTTACAAACTTACTCTACAGTGTGGAGCCAGGCCAGAGAGAAAGAGCAAACGAGCGAGATTCTCCTTCCTCAGAAATGGCGTGGGGCCTTCTGGCCTGGTGGCTTGTGACCAATCACAGCAGCAGCAGTGATGTGGCAGCTGCCCTGCGTGGAGGACTCACTCCATGTCTCCTCCACCATGGGGACTGAGGCACGCATAGGTGAAGCCCTTCCAGCCACCGTCAGGCAGGTAAAGGAGCCCTGGTGATGTAGTGGGTCAGCATTGGGCTGCTAATCCTAAGGTCAGCAGTTAAAACCTAGCAGCTGCTCTTTGGGAGAACCATGCGGCTGTCTGCTCCCATAGGTTACAGTCTCAGAAACCCTAGAATCTGTCCTGGTCAGCCCTGTAAGTCACTCCGAGTTGGAATCGACACGATGGCAGTAGTTAGCAGGGAGGTGATAGCCAAGACTCAACTCCGCCTGCCTTCAGAACCCGTGTGCTTTACTCCGCGCCCCACTGTGCCCTGCATAGTGTTAGAACAGGGCCGCAGGTTCCTGGGTGCCCTTGTTACTGAGAGACACCCCGCACCCTCCCGAGTCTGAACAGGTGGTGATTGTCAGCAGCGTGCAAGAGGAGCTGGCTTGTTAATGATGGTGCAGCAGGGACGGGAGCTGTCAAATGAGGAGTCTTTAACAACCATGAGGCTGCCATGCTATGGGGTAGCCCAAGCCACGTGGAGGAAGGAGTCCCAGAGAGGTGCTGAAGGGGCAATCCTAGCTAATCCCAGCTCTTGGCTCATCGCAGGCCTGGCCACAGACATGTGGGTTCAGGTGTAGCCAGCTGCCTGCCATTCCGGTTTTCCAGCTGAGGCCTAGGCATGACAGCATAGAGACAGTGCTGGGTCTTTCCTGGCTCCCAAAATTGGTGATGTGAGCCAATGGCTGTGGGCTCCATCCCTGCACTGTGGGGTGGGAGGGTGCCTGGTACCCACTCCCAGCTCTGTGTGTGTGTGTTACGCACTCTCAGCTGTGTATGTGTGTGTCTATTACGCACTCCCGGCTGGTCCACTTTCTTAGGAAGACTCCACGTGGCAGGCTCTGTCTCTCCAGTGTCCATAGCAACACTCACTTGTGTGTCAGAGCAGACAGACCATCCATATTTAACCTGGAAGGAAGTCATAATACCTAATGAGTTAGGGGATCGGAGAAGAATATTGAGAGCACCGTGAACTGCCAAAAGAACCAACAACTCCATCTTGGAAGAAGTACAGCTGGAAGGCTCCTTAGAAGCAAGACAGTTAGTAAGACTTCTTCTCCTGCACTTTGGACATGTCATCAGGAGGGACCAGTCCCTGGAGAAGGACGTCATGCTTGGTAAAGTGGAGGGTCAGCATTAAAGAGGAGGGCCCTCAGTGAGGTGGACTGACACAGTGGCGGCAGCAGTGGGCGGCTCAAACTAACCAGTGTGCGGATGGCGCCGGACCGGGCAGTGTTTCCTTCTGTTGGACATGAGGTCTCTCTCTGAGCCAGAGCTCACGGGACAGCACCTCACCGGCTGAGGCCATGACCTTCAGTTTACGGGGTGATGTGCACAGTGCAGGGCTGGGCCGCCAGAAGGCAGGGGGCCTGCGCACCTAGTCAACGACAGCCAAGTTAAAAATGGATGTTGAGTGTGGTCCCCAGGGCGGAGGCTGCATCACCAGGGCAGTGACCCCAGACGTGAACTTTGGAACTTGCCTGGAGTCACTTCCCTGCCCGGGACAGCCCTGCCACCTGGTGAGGAGCTTTGGAGCTCAGGTGAAGCCGGAGCCCTCCTGGGCCTTTGCAGTGGGGAGTAGAGAACCACCCCCCCCACCCCGGCTCAGAGATGGCTATGTGTGGGGCACACTGCCTGCCCCCCAACTTCATTTCTGCAGACACTGGGTATATGCATGTGAGACCCCAGAGCACAGCTAGCAGCCGGCCCCTCTGCAGGCGTGGGGCCCCAGCCGCCTTCAGACGCGCGCCTTGTCGAGCCCAGTCTGCTGCGCTGGTTTATATTCCGCTGCAGTTTTTTCAATTAATGCAGGTGAATCTGGAGTGGTTGGGTTGAGTCTAAATCCACATGGACGGGAAGCTGTGCTGGTTTTCTTTCTCATTCCTCTCTCTAAATTTGCACTGAGGGGCTTTTATCTTCCCCTTAATCCCACCATTTCTGTCAGGACATAATCTCTTTCTCAAATTTACATTTTAATTACAAGGCCAGCTGAACGAGGTAAAATCAATAATGGCAGCGCTAGGCCGCTAACTTTGTGAGGCAGCCCCAGCCTCTCCATTTCCTGCCATCGATCCGCCACACTGGCGCTGTCTGCGGCAGCGCTCAGGGCAAACGGGTGCCACTTGGTCAATTTAAACAAAAACGGGGATTTGGACGTTTTTATAAGTCTTTCTAAACGCAGCCATGGGAGGACGTTTGCGCCCTAAGACGGTACTTACGTCAGTAAACCCAGAAGGGCTGGCGGGATGTGGCTGATTTGGGGTCACATCATGATGGCGGCCTCTTGCTTTTCCATGACTCCGACATTCCTCCTGAAAATGCCGGCTCTCGGAGCTGGGGAAATGCTGTCAGCTTTTTGGCTTTTCACTTTGGAAGTATGTCAGGGAGATTGATTTTCAACATCGATGTGAAAACAGTCGTGCTTTTTTTAGTGGCCTGAGTATTTACCCTGCTTTAACACGCGTACTCATCTTTTTAATGGTTTAAAACAACAAATCAATGAAAAATATATTTCATTCTTGTAACTCTTAGGAATTCTCATATCGATCCTTTGCCTGTGATTGTATCTCTCTAAAATGTCACATTGTTCACTTATCAGTCTTGCCTCCTCTCTCTGTGCGTGTGCGTGCGTGCGTGTGCGTGCGCGTGCATGCATGAGCACGCAGCATTGGAGTTCGCGTGTGGAGCTGACTGCTTTGGCATCTGCAGCAGTTGTGGTGACGCTTTACTACAATAATAAGGGGAAGCATTTGAAAGTTTTTGTAAGTGAAATCCAGGCAATTAGCCCTACAGACTGGTGTTGACCATGCGCCCTGGATTCTAGGCGGAGGCCCCTTGGCCCTGACAGAGGCCTGCCTGCCCACCAGGCCTACTAGTATGGAAACCTTGCCCCTCAGCTTTGGGTGGCCCCATTCTAGTCTGAGTAGAGACCCCATACCCGCAGCTCTAGTAAGTTCTGTTCTCCTGGCCCTTGGACATGACAGCCTTGTCCTCTCATCATTGGGCCCATCCTCTTGGTACAACTGATTGGTAGCCTCACACTGGGAGCTGACTCTTTGAAATCCATGAGGTTGTGGCCCAACTTTGAAGTCCAGTCAGCCCTACTTCCTATGTTCCTTCCAGAAGTTCTGCTGATCTCCAGGTTGTGCCAGGGATGGTCCTGTTCTTGGAGGACATTCTTTAACAAAAGTTTGAGTCACCAAGTCCTGGTGAGAGTTTTAGGGCATTTGTCCTTTGTATGTGCAACAGGATTTCCAAATTTTTAAGTCCTGTTTTCAGTTTGCACAGTTCATTTTTAAGCCCCATCTCTTTCCTGTCTCACATTACTGTAAGCAACAGGAGAAACCACACTGTGCCTCTAAGATCTTACTTGGAAATCTCTGTCAAATATTCAAGTTCCTCACTTACAAGCTCAGCCTGCCAAACATGTGAACATGAGTCAGACAAGGTCTTTGCCACTGCATGAAAAACACCACCCGTCTTCCCTTGTCCAATCACATGTTCATCATTTTCTTTCATTTTCTTTCAACGTTTTACCAGAAACACATTTAACTTCCAATTCTGCTGATGGTGCTCTAAGTAGTCTGTAGACACTAGAGCGTTTATTATTCTTATCTCTGATTTTTAGAAGATGCAAACATCCATTTACTTTTCATGGTTTTAATAGCTCACCATTATCTATACTGTCTTCCTACACAGTCTCACAATTGTTGCCATGCTTGAGTCCATTGTGCCAACCCATTGTTGAGGGTCGCCCTTTTTTTCATTGGCCTTCTACTTTGCCTATCATGACGTCCTTCTTCAGGAACTGGGGCCTCCTGACCACGTGTCCAAATTACATGAGACAAAATGTCACCATCCTGGCTTCAATGGAACCTTTTGGCTGTGCTTCTTCAAAGACAGATTTATTTGTTCCTCTCGAAGTCCATGGTCCTTGTGGTACTTTTTGCCAGCGTCGTAACTCAAATGCAGCCATTCTTCCCCAGTCTTCCTGATTCACTGTCTAGTTTTTTCACACACATATGATGTAATTGAATATACTGGGACTTGAGTCAGGCACACCTTAGTCTTCAAAGTGCATGATAGTTTAGTTGGATATAAATTTCTGGATTTCAATGTCTTTTTCCTCAGCACTTTTCAAAATGACCTTCCAAGACTTTCTTCCATTCAGTGTCACTTCATAATGTTGATGTTGAGGGAGTTTCTAGCTCTTAGAGAACATCAGCTTTTCCACTTGGGAAATGGTTCCGATTTTCCTCTTCATCTTTAATGTTCTGCCTGTGCCCTTTTGTGTCCTCATCGGCATGAAGCAAGCCTCTTCAGACTTTCCCGAGGCCGTTTGACTCATTTATATCTTCACCTGCTTACTCCACTCCACTTATTCTTTCCTTCGAGGCCCCCAGACGAGGACATTGCTGCTTATACCTCTGCCTGTGGCAACTCTGAGCTTTACAAGTTTGTTTGTTTCATGATCTGACACCTCGCGGTGCTGTGGGGCTTCCCTTCTGTCCCTGGGCCTTGGCTGGTCTGTTCTGCTTGGCAGCGCCTTTAGCCTTCATCCTTGGGACTTCTTGTTACTGCTCTGTTTCCGGCATCTTCCCTTCTCTTGGTAGGACTGTAATGAGCTCATGGCACAATCCTGCCTTTTCTGGGATGTGTTGTTGAATTGGTTTTCTTTTTGTGCCCACTGAGCTCCTGGGCATCTTAGCTTCCCCTGTTCCTCTGGGGCTGCTCTCAGCTGGCGTGACATCAGGAGGAGGAAGGGCTCAAGTCGAGGGTCTTGTTGCTTCCCTCCTGAGTTTGGGGTGATAGGGGTACCCCTCAGTACAGCGCCTTCTTGTTATGTGCCGTTGAGTCCGTCTTTACTCATAGAGACTCTTTGTGGATTTGAACTGCTGACCTTGTGGTTAGCAGTCCACTGCTGATCGTAAGTGCCACTACATCCAGCTAGCCCATAGCCCCTGCCTTGTGCAGCTGCTGAAGAAGGTAGAACAGACACCAAAATGATAGTGCTCAAATGCAGGCCCTGGAACCCAATGAGAGACGCTGGCAGGGCTGCTGGGACTGGCCCTCACCTTAACAGAGGCTCTGGCACTGAGGCCTGCAGGGCTGAGATCACAGTGATGAGGCCAGTAGGGTCTGATTATCTGCCCTCCCTGACCCAGGGTGTGGGAACTGGACGAAGGCTGCTAGGCTCAGCCAGGCTCAGGCTATGTGAGGGTGCTAGGGGATGGACACTGGCTCTTCTAGGGCTGGACCCCCCGGCAGCCCCTGTCCAGATTCTGAAGAAAGACCCACCAGAGGGGCTTGTTGCTCAAGGAGTGCACCTGAGGACAAGGACTAGGAGAGATGAAGAGGCATCAGACCCCACATCTGCTGCTGCCCAACTGCGGCTACTCCGAGACCGGCTACCACCACCTGCATCTACCAGGTGACTTCCCAGGGCCTGGGACTGCCGGCCTCGCCCTCGGGCTGCAGGCCCCACCCACCCGTCAGGTGCTAGCTCCGCCCACCAGGCGCCCGTACTGGTCTGGCAGCAGCATCTTTCATGGCTCCTCTTGGGAGGCCACTTAGGGCTAGGGCGGCGCTTCCTCCTGCTCCCATTGTGTGCTGGGAGCATGCAGAGGCCCCTTGCAGGGCCAGAGTGGGGCTGGCAGGGAAGAGAGAGACCATGTGCGCTTTGCCAGTCTCCGAGGGCCTGAGGCTGAGAAGCCGGTGCCCTGCGGCTCTTTGGGAGGGGGGCAGGTTTGGTGAGCACCGTGGTCAGCCTGCGGACCAGTGCTCAGCATCCACTTTCGCTTCCTTTTTTACATTTCGAGTGTCTGAAAGGGAGATGTTTGCGTGTATAAACAAGTGCCCAGAAAGTTGGAAGGGATCTTTGGCATCAGGGCCTGTTGATTCACTACCCAGACAGGGAAGCCGAGGACCTCCCAGGCTGAGTGACCTCCCAGGCCGGGAGTGTGAGTGCTGGGTGGTGGTCCGGGCTGCTTATGATCCCCCAGAGACTCCACGATCCCATCTGTGCGACTTCCAGCCTAGACCCCTATGTACTGGCTGCCCTTCTGGTGGGCAGGATTTTGTCTTGACACAAGGATCCCTCTCTGTGTCTCGGTGTGAGGCCAGGCAGGCAGCAGAGTGGGGACAGGTGCCCCTGGAAGCTTTTTGAGCCCTTCTGACCTCTTGCAGTTCCTCCCAGGAGCCGGATGAGGCTCAGAAGCTGGCAGCAGAACGGGCCCGGGCCCCCGTGGTGCCCTTTGGGGTAGATCTGTGCTACTGGGGCCAGGAGCAGCCGGTGACTGGGAAGATTCTCAAGTGAGTATCGGTACACCCAAGGCTCCTTGTGGGGCAGCATCCTGGCTGCTCCTGAGGGTGACCTCACACATCTCTGCGGGGCTTGTGCTGCCCATCTGCATGGAACCTGGGGCCCTATCAAGGGCAGCACCTGGCCAACAGGGGTGCTTCTGCTGGTCTCCTGGGTGGGCTGTCCGCCTGCCACTCTGCACATGCCTGGTGTTTGCTGAGAGCCTTCTTGTTTTATCCCCTTACCCACAGCCACCTGACTAGTTCATAGCAGTGTCCGATTGTGGAATTGAGTGTCCACATGAGGCCAGGTGTCCTCAGGTCTCAGTGGGGCCAGCACCCTCCCCTGAGTGGACCAACCTGCAGCCTGGGTCCCCCCGCACTGTGTTCTTGTCCTGGTCACGCCCCAGGGCTTGATGACGCACCCACTGTGGATGGTGCTCTGGGCGTCTCTTGGCTTGCCTTGCAGAGCTGACTCTCAACATCGCTTCTGGAAGCCTAGCGAGGTGGACGAGGAGGTGGACAACGCTGACGTCTCTGAGATGCTCCGCAGCCGCCACATCACCTTTGCAGGGAGGTTCGAGCCAGTGCAGCACCGCTGCCGTGCCCTGAGGCCCGATGGCCGGCTCTGTGAGCGCCAGGACCGACTGAAGGTGCCTCAGGGAGGGTTGGGTGGACAGGTGCTGACCCCTCCTGCTGGCACTCCTGGGAAGTGGCTCCTCAGTCTCCCGACCCTGCTCTTAGATTGGCGGGGAACCCACCTGTGCCCCTGCCCCACATCACTGCATCCTGAAGGACTCACTGTGTGCTCACTCCCGTTCCTGGGCGTGGCCTAATGCTGAGGTGGGTGGAGGTCCAGGGCGGTTGACCACCTCTGCATTTGCACTGTCTGGTTCCGTCCTTTGCAGTGCCCCTTCCATGGGAAGATTGTCCCCCGAGATGACCAGGGGCAGCCCCTCAACCCAGAGGACAGGGCACGGGAGCAGAGGCAGCAGCTGCAGAGGCAGACAGAGCACCCAGGTGGGTCTGACAACTTGGTGTGGGTGGTGCGGACATGGCCCTGGGTGGTCTGCCAGCCTCCGTACCCCCCTCACTCTAACCAGTACGAGCATGGTGGTTCCAGGGCCCAGGCAACGCCCGGTATGGCCCTGGGTGGTCTACCAGCCTCCGCATCCCCCTCACTCTAACCAGTACGAGCATGGTGGTTCCAGGGCCCAGGCAACGCCCGGTATGGCCCTGGGTGGTCTACCAGCCTCCGCATCCCCCTCACTCTAACCAGTACGAGCATGGTGGTTCCAGGGCCTAGGCAACGCCCAGTATGGGTCTGTCTGCTGCAGCAGTTCTGGGTTTTAACCGTGTTTTCTAATTAAACAAAGGACTTGGGGCAAGAAGAGCTCTTGTCTGCGCCCAGACTTCTTGGAAGCGCACCTCACTGCTCCCCAGCCTGTCTGTTAGCTGGCTCCTGCTCAGGCGCATGGATGCGTGTGTGCATGTGTGTGTACGGCGCGGTGCTGCCTCCACCTGCTGGCCTCAGGAGACTGTCGTGGCCCTCAGCATCTGCCTGACTTCCAGGTGGTGGTCTCTTACAGGAGGAGAAATGGGGGCTAACAGTCAGAGAATGTGTGTGTGTGTGGTGTGCACACGTGGATGTGTGAACAGGGGAGGGATAGTCCGGAGATGGGATGGTGTGTGTGTGTGTGTGTGTGTGTGTGTACGTGTGTGTGTGAGCAGGGAGGGCACTTCTGGAGCAGGGCATGGTATGTGTACCTGTGGTGTGTGAGCAGGGCAGGGCACTTCCGGGGCAGGGCATGGTGTGTGTACATGTGTGTACATGTGTGTGAGAGAAGGGGAGGGTACTCCTGGGTCAGGGCATAGTGTGTGTGTGTACATGTGTGTGTGGGCAGGGAGGGTACTCTGGGGGAAGGACATGTGTGTGTACATGTGTGCGCGAGCAGGGGAGGGTACTCCTGATTCCGGGCATGGTTGTGCACATGTGTGAATAGGGGAGGGCACTTCTGGGTCAGGGCATGATGCGTGTACATGTGTGTACATGTGTGTGAACAGGGGAGGGCACTCTTGGGTCAGGGCATGGTGTGTGTGTTCATGTGTGCATGTGTGAATGAACAGGGGAGGGTAATCCATGGTCAGGGCATGGTATGTGTACATGTGTATCTGTGTCTGAACAGGGAAATGGTATTCTTAGGCAGTACAGGTTTGTACACGTGTGTGTAGCCCCTGGGGGAGGGGACACTGCCCATGAGGTTCCGGCAGGCTGAGGTGGACCCGGCAGGGACGTTGGGGGAACTGGGTCTTGGCAGAGCTCTGTCTTTCAGGGCCCCTAGTGGGCTTCTGCCACTTGAAGTTTCATCTCAGCCCTGTGTCACCTCTTCTTTGGGACTCATGCTATGGCTGGAGCAGGTGTCCTGTGCCCTACCTCCCTGAGGGTTCCCGGTGTGCAGGGCAGCTGTGGGTGAGAGACCATGGACTGAGCTGGGCTGAGCGGTGGAGGGAGGCGGATGTTCTTGTTTGCCTCTGTCCTGGGCCGGTGGGTTTGGGGCCTGCTCAGCATCAGGCCCCCATCCGTTCTGCTGGGAGTCTCTGCTTGCAGCACCATGACCCACGGCACATGGAAGGCAAACCACGTCTGTCCTGGGATGCGTAGTAATGCTCTTGGGGGCACCGTGGGCCACAGCCCATCCCCTCTGATGCACTTTACTAATGCTGGCCAGGCCTGGGCCCAGGCCGCTGTGGTGCAGGGGGAGGGCCTGACCTGTTAATCTGCAGGCGAGGCCTTCCCGGGTGGCTCACGCTCGGAGCAAATTAAGTGCCTATTTTTTGTGTCAGCCCTGAAGAGTATCTGGTTCTGCAGCCCTTGGTGACTTGTTAACAACCAGGTATCAGGGCGGCGGGCTGGGCCAGCCCCTGGCCAGTCAGATGTGAAATAGCATCTCTCTACTAACGACAGTATTGATCCCCGCCTCCTCCGGCTCACAAGACCCAATTCTCTTCCCCGGCGCTCACCCTGGTGACAATGCACGCGGGCACCGGCCGTCAGCGCTCAGGAAGGCCACGCGGCCCGGCATCTATTGATTTTCTTCAAAGGCTTTTAAATTGCTCCTTCATTTTCCTGAGATGCTCATTCCATCTGGACTGGACGCCGGCATTTTTCTGTTGTGTTTAAACAATTGCTCCATTCACCGGGCTCCTAAACTGTGACGCCTTCTTATTACTGGGAGATAAACTGTTTAGACAGTTTTCCTTAATCTTGGATTAATCGTTCCTGTATCGGAATCGTGTGGCCTCGTAGTCCCTCACTTCAAAAAATCCACTTGGGGAGGCCTGGCCATCCGTTTCTCTGGGGACCTGCCTTCCTCCCGTCCCAAGCTCTGCCTGCGGGTTCGCCTGTGGGGTCAGTAGCAGCATCATTCTACCTACCAGTAGTTAATGTCCACAGGCCAGGTGACGTCTGAAGGGGTTCCTCAGGCAGCCTGGTGGGTAGGACGCTGCCCCTTCTGGAGAGGAGAAAGGCAGCTCCAGGCCAGTGTCTGAGTCCGCTTGCAGGGCAGCATGGTGTGGGCAGCAAGGCCAGGTCTGCTGGACCGGGGGGACGCTGTCTTTCTCTGCTAGTCTTTCCCCGGCTGCCAGAGCTCTCAACCTCTGTTCACAGTGTCATGTCTCAGGGCTGCGCCTGGCGGCCATGCCTGATGGCACTGGACTGCGGGAGAGGCAGTGCTGGCCGGGTGAAGGGATGCCGGGAAGTGTCTCTGAGGACCCGTGTGCAGCCAGCCCCACCCCCCAGTCTCTGCCCCCTCTGTTCCCCTCCCTGACCCACACACACACTTAGCCACAGCCCCTCCAGCTGCACACATCTGCAGGCTGCAGACCACACTGTGAGATTGGGGTCCAGGTCAGAGGCTGGAAAGCAGCCTGAGATGGTTTCCACCCCTCTCCTTTCCTTCTGCACCCGAGGGAGACTACAGAGAGGCCTCCCAGTCCTTGTCTATAGCGCCCCCTGTGGTCCTTCCAGGCCTGCTCAGGTCACAGGGCTGTGGGGTCACAGGGCCAGGGACACCGGCTGGGCCTCCCTCCCCCTGTAGGCAGAGACCTTCCATGCTCAGTGTCAGCTGGACAGTGAGTAAGCTGACCCCTCCCGCCCCAGCCCCGCCTGTCAGTTCCATGCAGACCCGGGCGGACTAGTGTCAGATCTTTCTGGAACCCTGTGTTCTGTTTACAGACTGGCAGGACCCGGAGTTCATGAGAGATGTGGAGGCCGCTGCAGGGGTGGACCTGGGCTCGAGTCGGTGCAGTGGGAAGGGCAAAGGCAAAGGGAAGAAGAGGAAGTATCCCAACCTCACGGACCTGAAGAAGCAGGCGGACACGGCGCGGGCGCGCATTGGGAAGAAGGTCTTTGACAAGTACGGCTAATGCTGAGTCCCTCAGCTCCTCAGTTTGGACTAGTCCCCGTGTGTTCCAGACTCAGGGAAGGATAGTGGTCCTGGGTGACAGTCCAGTGAAAATGAGGAGAGGTCAGGGAGGGGTGCTGGCCCCCAGCCAGTGGGATGGAAGCTGAGTCTCAGAGCTGGGTCCCCCGGCCCCGGGGAAGGAGGTTTGCGGTGAACATGAGGGGGCAGGGGACAGCTGAGATCACTCAGCAGTACCCACGGAGTCCATGAGTTGGGGGGCCTCCTCTGACAGGGTCAGGAGCCCAAAGCCATCGTGGAACCTGCTGAGCACGTTCTCATCTGCTTCTCCCACAGGGCTGCTGTGCGGAGGGTCGTCACAGCCATGAACCAGATGGACCAGAAGAAGCATGAGAAATTTGCAAACCAGTTTAATTACGCACTGAATTAAAGGGCCTGAGCACAGTGTGGGCCCCTCCGGCCACCAGCTCCTCCCTGCCATTGTCTGTTGTTCCAACTGGACAACTGGACAGTGGTACTGAGCCAGGCAGTAACCTCCGGCCGGAACGTCATGGTGCGGATTCTAGTCAGAATACCCAATAGGCGTGGTTCCATGTTGCTGTCAGGCTGGCCTGGCCACTGCCCCTGGGAGCTCTGTGGGACATCTCCCAGCAAGCTTGTGCATTTGGAACAGAGGGGTGTACATACACACAACTCACACACTTCTCGTCCGTCTCCCAGGAGGTTGCGTGGTCCCTCGGAGCAAGCTCGAGATGCACACAGAAGTGTTGTTTTTAACACAAACACGGTTTCAGTGGGCCCCGCACAGTACAGGCACCCTGCATTCCCGCTCCATAAAATGTTCTGGAGGTGGCTCTATGGGAACACAGCTGCTGCTACCTCTTTCTCACACTAACAGCTTTATTGAGATCTAGCTTACAGCCCATAAAACTTACCCTTTTTAAATTTCATGGTTTTCAAGTATATTCACAGTATTGTGCATCCTTTGTCACAAACCATTTCTAGAATGTCTGTATCACCCTAGTGAGGAACTTCCGTATCTATTAACATCCATTCGCTGTGCTCGGTGTCTCTTCCTTCAAGCCCATTGTTGTTGGGTGCTGTTGCACTGATTTTCAACTCCTAGCAACCAACCCTATGTGACAGAATGGAATGGTCCCATAGAGTTTTCTAGGCTGTGGTCAAGTGCCTGGCAGCTAACCTAAAGGTCAGCGGTTCAAACCCACCAGCCACTCCAAGGGAGAAAAATGAAGCAATTTGCTTCTGTAAGATTCTAGCTTTGGGGATCCTATGGGGCAGCTCCCCTCTGGCCTGTGGAGTTGCTGAGTTGGAGTCGACTGGAGCGCACCCAGCAACAACCATCGTCAGGGTTGCAGATCCAGGATTCACACTGCCTACCTGCCAGCGTTATGTTCCGCTTTGTATATAATGTCACTGTGAGTTGGTACTGACTCGATGGCACCTAACAACAACCACCTTCCAGCTAGCAGCCAGACTAAGCGCTGCTAGGATAAGCGCTGGACCACAAGGTTGATTTGAACCACCAGGGTGCCACCCGGGCGCCTCCAGCTCTAAACCACCACTAATCTACTTCCTGCCTGTGGATTTGTCTGCTGTGAACATTGTTCATAAATGAAGTCATGGACCATGTGGCTCTTCGTCACAGACTCCTTTCCGTGACAAACCATGCCGCTGTGAACATTCCCGCGCACGTTATTGTCACTTTTCTTGGGAACTGGCTCAGGGTAGAATTGCTGAGTCACGTAACAGCAGCCATCTACCTCTTTTCAGAATCAACTCGTTGGCGGCACCATGTCTGCGGCTCCACACAAAAAACCAGTAAGGTCTGTTTTTGTGAAGTGCCGTACAGTCAGGGTTTCCATAGAGCGACTGGTGGGTTTGAACCACCAGCCTTGTGGTTATCAGTCCAGTGCTATCCTACAGCACCCCACCAGGACTCCTAAGAGGGTTCTAATCTCCGGACAGCTTCACCAACACACATCATTGTTTGTTTTGATTTGGGCCATCTTAGTGGGAGTGAGGTGTTTTTTATTTGCATTTTCTTAGTGATTTATGTGGTGCTGTAGGATAAGCGCTGGACCACAAGGTTGATTTGAACCACAAGGTTGGCAGTTCAAACCCACCAGCCACTCTTCAGAAACCCTGTATAGGGTTGCTATGAGTCGTAACCAACTTGACAGCATTTAACGACAACAATGATACTGAGTCTCTTTTCATATACTTATTGGACATTTTTATGTAATCTGGAGAAATGTCTACTCAAATTTCTTGCTCATTTTAAATGGGATTATTTGTCTGAATTACTTATGAGTTCTTTATATATATAGTCTATTTACTAGACCTTTATTTGATTTACAAATATTTTTCTCCCATTCTGCCTTTATACTTCCTTCATGATGTCTTATGAAGCTCAAAAGTTAAAAAAAAATGTGATGAAGTCTGATTGACTTTTGGCTGTTTTTAGTTTTTTAAAAGGCATTTGTGCTTTTGGCATCACATCTAAAGCCATTGCCTAGCCTAAGGTCAGAAAACTGTACATGCTCTTCTAAGAGTTTGTATAATTTTAGCTTTCACATTTGGGTCTCTAATGCATTGTGATTGATTTGATTTCCATATACAATGTATGCGATGGGGATCTAACAGCATCCTCTTGCTAGCACTGCTTGTTGAAGATCCCTTTTCCCCATCCAATGGTCTTGGTATCCTTGTAGAAAATCAGCTGACCCTAAATATGTATTCTGTAGGGTCGCTATGAGTCAGAATTGACTCGATGGCAGTGGGAAGTAGGAATAGCCTCAGATGTATGTCCCTTAATGTATGGTCATTTCTGGATCCTCTGGTTTTTATCAGATCTTTATCCTGTTTTTATGCTAGTACTACACTGTCTTGATTACTGTTTTTTAGTAATTTGTATTTGGGGAGTGTGAGTCCTCCAACTTTTAAAAAAATTTTTTTCCAAGATTGTTTTGACTAGTTTGGGTCCCTTGTATTTCTATATGAATTTTTAAAGCAATTTGTCAATTTCTAAAATTAAAAAGGCAACTGTGATTTTAATAGGGATTGCATTTAATTTGTCAATATGGGAAGTATTGCCATCTTAATATTGAGTCTTCTGATCCATGAACATGGTATGTCTGCCATTTGTTGTTGTTAAGTGCCATCAAGTCAGTTCCAACTCATAGCTATCCTGTATAGGACTTCTGAGGGACAGCTGATGTGTTGGAACTGCTAACCTTGTGCTTCACAATTAAGTGCTAATCGTACAGTGCCACACCAGGACTCTTTCAGCTATTTAGGATTTCATTAATTGATTTAAACAATGTTTTTTAGTTCCCAGTGTACGAGTTTTGCACTTTTGTTAAATTTATTTCTAAGTTTTGTTATTTTTTTTTACATGATTGTAATGAATTTTAAATTTTTTCGTTTTTAGATTGTTCACAAGTATATAGAAATCTGTTTGGGTTTTGATACAGATCTTGAATCCTGAAACCTTGCTGAACTCATTTTCAGTTAGATCATTTTGGTTTTATGTGTTGCTGGATTGGGGTTGCTGCAATTTTGAGGATTTTTGCATCAATATTCATAAGTAATACTGGTTTGCAGTTTTCTTTTTTGTGTGTGGTCTCATTGTAATACCTGCCTCATGGAGTGAGCTGGGGAATGTGCCCTCCTCTTCACATTTTAGAAGAGCAATTCACAGTTAAGAATTGGTGTTAATTCCACCAGTGAAATCAGCTGACATTGGGCTTTTGTTTGTGGGAAAGTTTATTAGTGATGCAGTCTCTTTACTTTTGCTATGGGTCTGTACAGAGATGTTTTCTGTTTCTTCTTGAATTGGTTTCAGTAGTTGGTCCTTTGTGGATAAGATTCAGCATGAATCCAATCCCCAAATGTGGAACTATATCAGCCCCCACCGTCCCACTTCTCAATTTCTGACACAACTGTTCAGGTGGCCCTCCCTGACCCTAACCACCCAGAGCTAGGCTGATGTAACAGGCGAAAAGGATAGTGTTGTTGTTGTTGTTTTTAATAAATTTTTATTGTGAGGTTTACATTCATCCTATCGTATTTCATTGCATTGCAATGATTACAATCTCCTCATGCATCATCAAATAACCAAAGGGTACACCTCACAGACCTACCCCCAGCCATCAGCACACAGCCCCTCTCCCTGAGTCCAGTATCCCCAGCTGTTCCATCTGTCCACGTCTGTGACTCCATCCCTGGTGTCTCTGCATCTCTGGGAAGGGTCCTGCTCTCCGCTCTTCTCACTTGATGGTCCCAGGGACCGCCGCTCCTGGGCTGCAAAATCAATCTCTCCCTTCCTTTTGTCAAAAAACATCTATCTCGTATTTTTCCTACCCTCACAGTCAGTCCTGATGGCAATTATTCACTATTGTACCACAAAAGTCTTGTCCCCATTTCCTTTCACCAGCCCAATCCCAATGGATTGGAAATCATTCAGTGGTGATTCTACCTTCCCCCACCCCATCTGGAACTAGGCTCCCTCTTGAAAGCTTGTAAGCCAGTCACTTCTTCCTTTAAAGGATAGTGTCTTTTAGACTGCCAGATAGATGTCAGCCTCAAGTTGGGGAGTCCACACAAACACCCTCACTGCCACCTGCTGGATCCTCTTCTCCTTTGATGATTCATAGAACTCACAGATACTTGGCACTACAGATTTATCACAGCAAAAGGATGCAAATGAGGATCTTCCCAAGGAAGAGTCTCCTGGACAAAGTCTCTGAGAGGCCATGTCCTTCCTTGACCAACCAGAAAGTTCTCTCAGCCTCTGTGTTCCAGGGTTTCATTAGCCAATCATGATTGAGCCCTCATTACATATGCAGGAGAAGCTAAATCGTGCCTCTTGAGGTTAGTTTACACTGGCCTACCAGATGAGTCTTTTTCTGGTTCAGCTAACCCCAGGCGAAGACAGACTAGGAAGAAAGAGTGACGAACTACTTCCGAATATTTAGTCACTAGAAACCTTATGAATAGCAGAGAAACACTGTCAGATGTAGTGCTGGAAAATGAGCCCCTCAAGTTGGAAGGCACTCAAAATGCGACTGGGGAAGAGCTGCCTCCTTAAACTAAAGTTGACCGTGATGACGTGAATGCAAGACCTTCATTTACTGGTGGGGCACAACTTAAAATGAAGAGAAACAGCAGTAAACATCCATTGAAAATCAGAACATAGAATGTACAAAGTTTGAATCTGGGAAAATTGGGAGTTGTCAAAACTGAAATGGAATGCATAATCATCAATACCTTAGGCATTAGTGAGCTGAAAAGGACTGGTATTGGCCATTTTGAATCTGAAAACCACATGGTTTACTATGCCGGGAATGAAAAATTGAAGAGGAATGGTGTTGTATTCATCGTTGAAAAGAACATATCCAGATCAGTCAT